AAGAGAAAAGATGATTTGATTGTAACTTAAACGACAAGTAAAAGCAAATTAGAAACGATGTAAATTCAAATTAAAACAAGCACTAGACTAAGACAATTCGTAGGAATTCCAGAGATGGAAATCAACAACTATTCAGGACACAGATAAACGCAAGTCTCGAACTCAAAAATACATGCATAACGACCCACTGTCGTGGCACCGATAACTTTGTCTAATAACCTAAATTCTAAACTGTCGTTTGAACTTAGAAAAATCGCAGACAAGCATTAACAATCAGGTTTGATCTGTTCACGATTCGCCTTAACATCAACTATCGTTGGCCAAGGACGAATCGCTCACCAAAGTTTATTCTAGCAACCTATTACACTTTTGATTAACAGGTTAACCTAAAATCTCAGATTGAGCTATCAGTTCAACCTGAGCATTAAGAACAACTATGGTGAAGACAATTCTAATTAAGCCCTATTTGTGTTTAATTAACAAATCATCGAAATCTTTTGAACGCCTTAATCTAGCAATGAGATCTACACAAACATAGAGAAAAGAAACACAGCAAAAGATAAAAAAATTCATGAATAAAAACTTAGAAATATCATGAGGGTTCAGAATTCTTCTCAAGTGTAGCAGAGATTTTTCTCCCAAATCTTACAAGCAAAAACTCTCCAAAGTCTGGAAATTTGTAAAAGAAAGCGTAAAATAAGTTCTGTAAAACGTGATTCTCTTTTTGAGGCGCCTCTAGTCTTTTATTATCTTCATGCGTCCCAAAATTAAGTAAAAATCGTTTTCCTTATTTTTCTCCAGGCGGTTGGAGCAGGTGCTCCACGAAAGGGGATTAGTCGGGAGCAGGTGCTCCCAACCAAGAATGGTACTTCTGCGTATGATTTATTATCTTTTTGCTCAGCTTCAGCTCCTTTTTGTTCCAATGCTCCCAGTTACTCCAATCCTTGTCTAAAACTCCCTAGATACCTGAAACAATTGTTATAGATAAAATTGATTAACCAAAACCCAACTTTTATTAAGTAATAATAGATAAGTAACAAGAGTAAAACTCCCAAAGAGAATTATGTTCTCTCCCTCGGCCTAACCCGATAAACCCTCTAAAATTCTTTCTCTAGCTTGGATGATTCTTACAATAAACTTAACCCCTATATATATCATAAAACCCTAAACACCGTATCAAAACAATGTTAATACTCGAATAGAAATCATGTGTCCGATAAAACGTGTCAACTAATTTGTTTTTTTTAAATAGAAAATATATTCGTATTTCTCTGGATAGATTTGGGAAAGTAATATTTTACCTTGTATATAGTCTGAAATTGCTAAGAGCCCCATCACCAAACTTTCTTCCTAAATGCAACATAAGCTCTTTTAACTTCGTACAGTTAGTAATCTCCAGATATTGAAGAGGGGCATGAAGCCTTCTTCCACTATCCATTCTTCTAACTCATCTAATTGAAAAAACAAAGGCTCCTGCAATTGAGGAAGTTTTACTTCTCCCTAGAAAATGTCATAATAACTATGTCAATTCTTTTTTAAAAGAAATCCTTTTTGAAAGCAAACAGATAACATAGATTACTCTTTTCTGGATGGGTTTTGTACTTGATATTTAGATTTGGGGAAATAATAATATTTTACCTGGTACTGAGAGCCTCATCAACAATGGAAGCTTAAAGAAGGAAAGTGTCGGACTTTGTAATAATCTTGTCCTCCTTCCAACAACCTCTCCTCCCATTCCTTTGGATATTGTTGTTTAATTATAATTGACTAATTGATTTTGTGTGTTGATGTTGTTGGTGCCACCACACTGTCCACACATGCTACATTTTGCTTTTCTTCAGAAAACATATGGATTCCATTGTAACTTTTAGTAGGATTCACATTATATCTATGTGATTCTTAGCTACCTCAGTCTGTAGTTCTTAAAAGGAATTTTTGATGTTAAGTGTGTTTAGATCCGTTTTATTTACCTGATTCGAATGGAATCAAGGGAAATAACGATCTGCAATCCAAGAGACTCGTCGGGATTGGATGCGGTAAAACATTGAGGGAGGATTCAAAACAGATCTTCACAGAATCCCAATCAAATACGATGGGAAGGAATTCAATTACGGGAGAAAACAAATCAAGATTTAAACCCACAGAGATTAATGCAGGGAAGGTCGTACAAATATTAGCTTTCCCAAAAGTGATATCGGTATATCTAGATGGTGAGTCACAATTTCAAAAAAAAGATCTTCTTAGTATCAGAAAATTAAGAGAGACGAGAGGCTATATAAAGAAGCAAAGAGAGGTAGTCTTCTCCACCAAACACAGAATCATCAACCTTTACTCATATTATCTCTCTTTATCGAGATCTCTCTACGGTATCAAAAAATGGCTCAGAGCAATTTGGTGAGGCAGGATGCAACAGGAAAGAAGGTTGAGGTCTCTTTGAAGAGAATGAAGATTACTGTTCCACACTTTGACAACTCGGGGCTTATAGAAGAATACTCCAAGACTTTGATTGGTCGGTGTATGAACCCACCAATGCAAGATATGAAGATGCTTCTATACATGTTGCCACGAATTTGGAAGGTGGAGGAGAGGGTAGCTAGTGCGGATCTGGGACTTGGGAGATTTCAGTTTGATTTTGAAAGTGAAGAAGACATTAAGGAGGTCGTGAAGATGGAGCCTTTCCACTTCGACTTCTAGATGCTCTCGATTGTTCGGTGGACACCAATTGTCAATCCGTCGTATTCTTCAACGATCATGTTTTGGGTATGAGTCATCGGTGTACCACTTCACTTCTGGGCTGACCCGACGTTCCGAACCATCGGGAAAGCTCTAGGAGACGTCAAGGAGGTGAATTTGGACGATGGCAAAGTCCAAGTCGTGATTAACCATTTGCGGCCTCTATGCTTTGAAACAGTGGTTGAGTTTCATGGCGGAGAAGAAACTATGGTCTTTTTGATGTATGAGAAACTCTTTGGCTATTGTAGAATCTGCTACAGCCTCTGTCATGATCAGAAGATCTGCCCAAACCGAGCAGAGTATACGGAACGGAAGGTGCAAGAAGATCACTACGATGACTCCACACACAACTCAGGTGCTGTTACTTACAAAGCTGCGGTCAACTACGGTTCTAACGGGGCTAACGGAAACAATGGAAAACATGAAATGGGAAAGGTGAACTCCAATCACTTTCATGGCGGACAAAACAGAGGTAAAGGGAAGCTTTTTGGTCAAAAAGAGGAGGTGAAACAATCCCATATGGGAGAGAGTTACCGTTACCAAAGGAAGAACAGACCGTCGGTATGGTGAAGGTTCGTCTAGAAGTGGGAGACCAACAACCTATGCTCCTCCAAAGGATCTACAATACCGGGTAACAACAACGACGGCTGGTGTATCCAAGATCAGGAATGCAGAGATTGATGAGGAATTTCAAAACAATAAAACTGGTGGAAGTTTGGAGGATACTGCCGCAGATATGGCAGCAAAAGGGAAAGACGGTTCTTAATACAGGAAAACAGGTGAAGAAAAGCCTAGTTTTTGACGATGAAGGATTAACAGCTCCGGACGCACAAGAGGCGAAAGAGAAGGTTCATGAGGAATTGATGAGCACCATGGAGGAAAACAATTTGGAAAATAAAGAAAATATGGATCATGATTGGGATGATTTATGAGCTAATGATGACTCTCGAATGGATTTTGAGATTGAAGGTACGATGGTGGAGAATTTTCAAGAGGATGCAACAGGAAAAAGTGAATTGGTGGAGCAAGGTGCTACTCTATTCGAACCAGGGGAACTGCAGTTGGAATCAGATGCGGTGAAGGACTTATTGGAACAGGAAGAAGGTGAAATCCTGGTGAATTATGGGGAAACCGATGCTGAACGTGACGGAACGAATATCATTGGTGTGGGTTCTGAGACAAATAACGGTGAGATGGGGACAATAATGGCCACTGTAATGGAAGGAACGGTTGGAAATGAAGGGAACAAACCTGCAAATAGGAAGAAGATAATAAAAGGCTCATCTTTCGTTGGAGGCACTAGAAAAAGAGGATGGTTCAAGTTCTGATTTCTCCCCGTAAGAAGCAGTCTGGCAAGGGTTCATCAAACCCAAAACTGGGACTGACTGGAACAAAACCTGCATAATAAATGAGGATACTTAGTTGGAATTGGCAAGGTATTGGCAGCCGATGGACAATAAGCTATCTTCGGGAGATTTGGAAAAACTATAGATCAGAGTTTTTATTACTTCAAAAACTAAAAATGAATTTTTTTTATGCAACAATTTCAGATTCATTTCGGTTATAATAAAATGTACACGGTTGAACCATACGGGGCAAGTGGTGGACTTGCTTTATTTTATGATAATTATTTTGATGTCACTATTTTATTTTCAAATAATAAAATAATTGATGTTGAAGCAAAAATTCTTGGAAAAAGAGTATTTTTATCTTTTATTTATAGGAATCCGGTTCTAAAATTGCGGGATCAAGTTTGGGAACGTTTAACAAGGATAAGCATCACTCGTACAGAACCTTGGATAATAATTGGGGATTTGAATGAGATAACTGGGAATCATGAGAAACAAAGTTGCCTTTTAAGACATGCATCTAGTTTCGTGTCTTTTCATACGATGATACAGGATTGCGGTTTTCTAGAGTTTCCTTGCGTAGAAAATACAATGTCTTGGAAGGAAAGACGAAATGCAAAGATGGTTGGCAAATGAGAATTGGCATGACTTATTTACACAATCCTTTGTCGAATATTTAGCAATGATTGGGTCGGACCACCAACGAATTGTCGCAACAATTGCGGATAAAATTCCTCGCAAGAGGGCACAATTTAGAATTGACAAGAGATGGATAGGACAAGACGGTTTGAGGGATACTATTACTAAAGGTTGGGAAGTAAAGTATGGATTCATCTTAGTGGGATTCATAGCAAGATAGAAAATGATAATCAAATTGGTCCATCTTAGTGGGATTCATAGCAAGATAGAAAATGATAATCGCTTCTTTAATAACTTCCACAGAAACAAGATAAAATGAACAGAGATTGTTACTATCAGCGCCAACAAACAATCACTTGGTATATGACACTGATAGCACTAAGCCAAGAACGAACCTTACATCTCATTCTGATCAAATCCAATACATTGGAAAACGATATGAGACCTGATAGAAGTGTAGAGCTGATTCAGCATCTTTCTTTGATTTCTCCACTTGACAGAGAATAATAATTGTTGAAGCCACATGTTCAAGTAGTGTGATCGTGTAATAAAATGCGAGATGGACATGGGAAATTAGTGTTTTCACCTTTGGAACATTGGCACCTAGGCTGGTGAGTACAGTTTCGATGTAACCATGTACGTCTTAATTAGGACATCCACTGCAATTCCTCTTCCGGATCAACCGGTATTGTACCCATATTATCCTTGAAAAAACAAAAACAGGAAAGCAGATAACCAAAGCAGAACCATAATTTACAACCAAAGCTATCTTCAACGTTTAGTATAGCAAAATCTTAACTCTATTCAAGTACGACCCACAAAAACAATCAGTTTTTACTTTTTACTTGTTCTACTAAACTTTTTCTTACAAAGAGAAAACAAATTCCATTTACATTCTCAATTTGTTTTACATAATCCCTTTTCTTTATAAAATTTTTTCCCACATTATTGGACATGTGAAAGAATATAATATTACCTGTTTGCCTATTATTGGAGAGTCTTAGACAATATTCAAACGAGGAATGTGTTGGATTTTGTAGTATTCTTCTCCTCCTCTTGACAATTTCTTCCAAAATTCCAATGTATGTGTGTTCATATCCAGCTCTTCCAAGGAAGTGATGAACCTCAGCCCATCAGGAAGCTCTGTTAACTTTCGACAATTTAGAATAGTCAGAGAATGAAGAAGTTGCATGGAGCCTTCTTTTACTATCCACTCGTGCCACTCATATAATGTAGATAATATTAGCTTCTTCAATTGAGGAAACCCACCGGCCGAGCAAACCATTCTGCTTCCACAAAAAGATTTATTCAATAAACTGACATCATATAAGTGAAGAAGCTTCTCTAGAATTGGCATCGGATCCTCCTCTAGACAACAACCACTTAGAGTTATGCTTGTAAGGTGAGAAGGGAAGCGTTGCGCATCAGGTAACCTTCGCATATATATACTTAACTTGAGCTGTTTGAGATTCTTGCAATCCAAAAAGAAACCTTCATCATTCGTGGGAGCATACAACTTATAATCATCATATATCGTAAGATTTTCCAAGTGTTTCAATTCACTTAGAGATGAAGATAGAGTTTCCATAGTACACCCCTTGCCGTTGAATAAGATAGAGAGGACTTTGAGCCGTGTCATACCTTGGAAATCCTTCACACTCCCATGCTCTGTTGAGAAATTCTCCAACGTCTCCAGGTTGACTAGATTACCCAATTCCATCTTTACTTTATCATGTATCTTCACCGGAAGAAAAAGGTTTGTCAATTCTCGCATCTCTTTCAAGAAATTGGGCATGTAGATTGAATATCTCTTATGTACACATAGGTTTAAATAGAGCAGCAGCTTCAGTTTCCGCATAGAAGAAGGTAGATGAGTTATATGCGCCATATATAAACTCAAATATTTCAAGTGAATGAGATTCCCAATGCTCGAAGGTAACTTCCCGCCTTCAAACTGGACTCTAGAGAGATCTAAAACCCTCATCAACTTAAGCCTTGTAAAGCATAAATCTGGTGCCATCCAATCTGTTCTCTTGTCTTTCAAGATAACCAAGAGAGATCTAAGTTTTGGATTATTCATCTCCCTTTCCACATTAAATGTCCTATCAAGCTGATGTAAGGCGAGTCTGCGAGATTTACAAGAAGATTCAGAATTCGCAGTTGAGGTGCCGTTAATAATTTGTAGGAAGTTCTCTTCGTTGGCTTTAAGAAGACAAACTTCTCTCATCATGTCATGCAAGTGACATTTTTCATATCTCAAAGTCCTACCATCTCTTTCGGACACAACCATATTTCTTTTAACTAACTCTTCTATGTAGCCATCCGCAACATCTCGAATGCTTGTTCTTTCATAAGATTCTGCGTTTAGTATTCCTTCCGCAGCCCAGTAGTAAGACAATTTCTCCACATCTACGAGATAATCTTCTGGAAAATGGGCGAGGTAGAGGAAGCAATGCTTCAAACAACTAGGCAACTCTTCAAAGCTCAAAGATAATACATAATAAACCAAACTGTTATTGTCGCCATTTAAAGTAGTCCCTCCAACAATATGAGATCCAATATGCTCATATATCCTTTTCCACTGATGCAATGTGTATTGCGCAGCTAACAAACCTCCTAACACTTTTACCGCCAATGGTAGTCCTCCACAACGTTTTATCATCTTCTTACCCATCTCTTCCATTTCATCAACCTTCAAGTCTGTACAACGTTATCAAAGTATATATACATCCTGTCAAGGTATGGTTCAATAACAAGAATGTTCAAATGGATTATTTCTTAAAGATATTAATGTCAATTTATTTAAGGATAAAAACATCATTGTTTATGATTCACTTCAAAAATAAAATCCTCATAGATTGTCCTTGAAAACGTACCGTTGGTATCTTTTCTAGGAAATGCTATCCGTCGAAAAATTTTCCAACATTCTTCGAGAGTTAGACAATCTGGTTTAAAAGTGAAACATTTTGGATGTGCTCGTAATGCCACACCCTCGTTGCGAGTAGTAAGTAGTACCTTCCAACCTACAAAAAAGTATACTTTTTTTTACATAACTCCAAACGGTGAACCATATATTGCCTCGTTGTGACCTTTCTTTTCTTTTTTGTTTTCACCCAAACGGTGGATATTAAAAACAGAATTATCAAATGTATGTACCATAAGATGTCACCTTTTGCCTGTGGAAACATTGGTTTTATTATGTCCCAATCTCCTTCTCTCCATATATCATCAAGGACGATCAAAGTCTTTTGTGTTCCCAACAGTCGAACGAGTTCTTCTTGGACTTCATCTTCTGTCATTTCTAACACTTTATACTCTGGCCTGAGTTTCCGCAAGATCGTCTGCCACACATACTCCCTTGTAAACTGTTGAGAAACACATACCCACGCCAATCCTGCAAAATTATTTTTTACTGTCTCATGATTAAACACCTGTCTTGCGAGGGTGGTTTTACCGATACCACCCATCCCCGTTATAGAAACCACTTGGCTGCTATCTTCCTCTGCTAAATAGCCAACCAATTGCTCAACATTCTTCTCCAGCCCCACAAGATGGTCTCCATTATCACTTGAAAACGTTTGTCGCATTTCCCTTTCTCTCTTATATAGGGACTGCGTATACCTTTCATTGACAATGACTTGTTGTACGCCAAGACTCAGCATATCACGAATCACCTTTGAGATCCTCTTACTTATGGCTTTCATATCGAAAGCAAGCCCCCTGCGTTTCACAATATCATAAGAAAATCTCTGCACACTGTTCCTAATGCTACTTGTTTTTCCTAGTTCTTCCTTTAGAAGAAAGATTTCAACTATATCTTCGGCGTCATAAACAATTTCCTTGATCTCTTTCACAGTGTTTCTCACCATTGCACTTGTCTGTTTTTTGGCTTCTGCATCTTCCAAAAAGCACCTTAACATATTCAGATCAGTTTTTAATTCATTAAATTGCTCCTGAACTCCCTGAAATCGCTCAGATTCTCGGACAAGGAGGTTCCAGAGCTTCTCAACTCCAACTGACAAAAGTGTCTCAGCCATAAATCTCCTGCTTAACCAAGATATCAAAGTAGTAGTCAATAATCACTAGAATATGATTCATGAGTTCATACTTCAGATAATATATTTTGCACAACTAATTGTATAAATATACTATTTTGGGGGGATTTAAACCACAGATCTGTCGACAAAAAAAACCACAAATCTTTGTACAGAGACATGAACAACACTGAGATAAGAAAAAAACTGCAAATTACAAAAGATTAAAGCAAAATAGTCACCTCCTAGAAAAAGCTTTCGTCCAACTGATCTGTATAAAGAAATAGACGACGGGAATTTTTAAGTGTTTGGTTAGAAGAACTCGGCAAAAATCCATTATAAGAGTTGACTTTTCAAATGTGAATCCTTTGGCTAGAAAGTCTTGAAAGGCAATCTATATTGTATCTAATTGCTGCTACTTGTCACATGTCATTTTTCATGGGCTTAAATTTCATGGGCTTAAATTTCAATTAAATTGTTCCACTCTGTAACACTGTCATAAAAAGAAGAAAAGGACGACATGAAGCAAAACCAGAGATTAAACAATCGTCAATCACTTGGTGATAGGATGCTAAAACAAGTTAGCTACCATAACTCGACGAGATTAAACATTAAAGTTCGTTCCACTTCACTTCCAAATTGTCAAAACAATCAATAATTCAGAATATTGTGAAACAAAAATACAATTATCAATCAGTAAAAAAAAACTTAGTCATCAAACACGCGCTAAAGCTCCAAAATCTATACCACTTATTCCCTGGAGCCTCTAGCTCTGCATGTAAGAAAGGTATTTGAGAGTTAAGAGGAGTTTACCAAACCAAGATCGTCTAAAAACGCACTCTATGAACTAAACAGAAATTGAGCTATTTTAATTTCTATCATCAAACTTGCAAAGAATACGTAAATGACTAATGAATAAGTAAGTCTTTGCTACAAACTTCAACGAGATCAATAAATATGTCATCTCTTAGCAATCTCTGCCATTTCTTCTTCAACCTTATTCCAAGGTATGAGTCATGACTAACATTTACGTTATGTACATTACCTAGCTAGTATAGTCTTATTATATGACTTTCCTGAAAGGATTATACATTGTACTGGAGATAGTAAATGGAATATTCTAAGACTAACAAGATATATGACCATATTGATACCTTATTGATCCTAAATCTTACTCCCATAAGCTCTCCTACGAAAGGTTTATCCATCAAAATGGTAAACATTCTTTGGATGATGGATATGAATGTAAACAAGCACATTTGATTGCCAAAACCAAGTAATACCTCCAAACCTGCAAAATAGTTTCTTGCTTGATGATTCTAAACATAAAGAACATAGACAATTTTTGACCAAACATGAGACACCCCAAAACCTGAAAACCCCTATTGAATAACCTGACTTGTACTCCACGCCAAAATGAACTTTTAAACAACACCCGGAAGCGATCCTACCTGCCCACTTGATTTATATGAAGAATTAAACATAACTTTATATATGTCTACTTAACCTAAGATTAGACAAACAAAAATCATAAATATTTCAAAAGTTCACAGAAACCTAATGATATATTCATAAATTGCATCATTTAGTGTACATATTTTAGTCCAAATCATGTCTTATCTCATGCATTTTAGGTCTTTAGGCATTGTTTTAGGACTTAGAAGAATGCATTAGGTCCAAGAGAGTTTTGCATGGTTTGGAGTGTTAAACAGGTGCTTTTGGAGCCAATTTGGAGTGGAGGATGTGATTCAGATGAAGAAATGGAGTTGGAATGATCAAAAATGGTGAAAAGGAGCAATTTTGGGTTTCTCGGCAAAATGGTGTACTGAAGGTCGAAGGTTCTAGGCCAAAATCCTTCCCGCGGGTAGAACTCTCGGCCAAAAACACGTGCCGCGGTTAAGTTTCTCGGCCAAAAATCTCGAGTGCAGATACATCTCGGAAATCACGTTACCGGAAGGTCTTGCCGTCAGATTCAGCTGTCGGAGTCTTCTTAGAAGTTGGAGATAATTGAGTCAAGAGTTCATAACAGTTAGAATCAAAGCATTTGGACAACGGAGCTGAAAGATATGGTAATCGGAAGACAGACCTCTTTCGCATCCATTCCGGAGCAATCCGATACTCCTGAATGATCGCCTGTCCGAGGAACCTTACGGTCCGATTCAGCTGTCGGGGGCTTCATCAAAGTTGGAGACGATTGGATAATGGTTCCATATCAAGTGGAATAATGGAATTCGGACGCGTGAGCAGAAAGTTAAGCTCGTCGGAAGAAACCCCTGTCTCGCTGCCGTTTTGGACCGACCCGATGAGCTCCGAAGAATGCGAAGGACGGCGCACTTCCAGGCCGATTCAGTTTACAAGGCCTTCATGAGAATCAGAGATATTTGAGTCCTCGTTCCAGAACGTCCGAGATCATTCAATTCGGATCTATGAGCAAGAAGTTAACATTTCCGGAATGGACACATGTCTAGACGCCTCTCTCTGATCGTGTAAATGCACTGCAAAGATGAGCCCTCCAGGAAGCCTTCCACTTCCCAAGTTCCGATAGTTTCTTCACTAAGTATTGAGCTGAATGAGTTATCTTTCTCATGGAACTGGTTTTAGGTCATTTGGAGTTATGAGCTGAAAGTTACACTGAACAGAAGAGAAGCTGGTCAATTCGGGTTTTAAGAGATGCGACTGTAAGCTAAGTGTTGTGTCCTACCTCGGCGTGAATACCTCGGCATGTATGCCGAGGAGGCATGTTTACGAAGCCTTGAGACTATACCTCGAGGTAGGACTTCGGTCTTTCAACACCAAGACTCCCTTGATCACCAAAATGATCCCAAAACGACTAAGTGTTGAAGCAGACCTTGGTGTGAACCCTTCAGCATGCTATGCCGAGCTCCTATGTTATACAAACCTCGGGTACCAGGCCCCTCGGCATGTATGCCGAGGTCCTCATCTCTCCAACCCAGATTACAAACAAATCCTCTTCACGTTTCAAAGCTTTAACAGGATCAAATGCCAAGTCTCATGTATGTTCTTCAAGTGTTCATCAAAGTTTCAACCCAGCACATGACCCCCTGGTGTATGGCCCTCGGTGTGAGACTTCTTCAGATGGCGAGGGCTGGCTCCAGCAACCCAGAAAGGGCGGGTCAGTACCCAGTTTTTCCTGGGATGACCCGGCCCACACCCTTTTATATAAATAGTTTTTAGAGACTAAAACCCTAGTTATCTATTATCTTATCCTTTATCTTAGTTTCTCTTTGGTTTCTCTTTCCTTATCTGTGTAAAACCGACGTGATTAAGAGATATCTAAGAGATTTCATTATCTTAAAGCTGTTTCTTATCATTTCATCATCTGATCTCAACTTCTAATCATGATTAACATCACCTCTTGCAAAGGAAATGGTGTGTTAATCATGATTAGTGAGTAGTTATCTTTTAAGCTTCTAGGTGTGTAGATTAGGGTGCTTAGATGATCGGTTTATGATGTTTAGGTCTTTTCCTTAGTTAGCTGCTCTTAATGCTAGATCTTTGCACATCACTCTGATCTAGACCTTAGTCATTTCTCCACCCACAAGGTGTTTGATGAAATGTCTGAATAAGCTAAGCTAAGGGTTTATGCCTTTTTCATCATGGAAATGATTTGTTAAATGCATGAATGACATATTAGGACTGTTTCTTAATGCTCACTGATTCATATTTCACAAATGATGATTTGGTTTGAAAGTGGATTAGTGTAGAGATTAATGCCTTCATGAGAGGATTAGTCTAGATTTGAGTTCTAAGTTAATTGGTTTTGAGATCATGTGATTGCTTGTTGCTGCTTTCTGTGTAAGATTCAGTCTCTTTGAAATAGAAACCGTTTGGTCATTATTAGACTTGATACTTTATGCTTGTTGATTGCTTGATCTTGCTTAAGGTGAATTAATCTTGATTAAGTGATTTACAAAGAGATTATTGTCATGGGAATGAATTAATCTGCTTTTGAAGTCTAGACTAAAGAGTAACTTGCATTGCATTATTGTTCTTAGCATCATGAATAAATCTCTAAAGCACCCTAATCAATGATCACATCTAGAGGTTTAGCTTTCTCTTTGTTTTGAATCTGAGTCTTTGTTTTGTTGTCTTGTTGCTTGTTCTTAAATTACTGCTTGTTTTTGTTTGTTTTATGTTTTAGATCACCTTGTTACCAACTCATCTGCTTGTTAGACTTGAATTAAGATAGCTCCTCATAGTTCTAGTGTTTAGAATCTCTCCATTTGGATTGATACCTCAAGTGCTACAATGACATGAGTAGTTGAGGAATTGATCAAAGATTGAAAAATTCCTGCTATCACCTAATACACAAGTTCCCACTCACGAGAACGTCACACTGTTTAAATCTGGTGACTCGTCAGCCACAAATCTCACAAGCCTGTCAGCCCATGTACTTGCCATACTTCCTCTGTTTATGGTCTAGCCATGGTCCCACTTCGAAAAACATCCTTCGTGAAGACCAGCAAGAAATCCATCCATAGGCAGGGATCAATCATGTGCTTTAACGCGCCTAGACTAACACCAATCAAGAATACATACAACAATTCTCAAATAATCGTTCATTTTCGCTTTAATTATCAATCAATCTCTAATTATAGGTTCAGCACACACATATACAACTATGTCTAAGAAAACCTATAGATCCACAAGTCCCGCCTCACCTTTGCCACTTGATGATGAATAACGAATATGGTTCACCTTCGGCCAGATTTGACATTCAACAGAAAAACGATTATAAATTTCTTGTTAAAGCTTGGAATGAGTATCAAAAGATTGATATGGAAAGCTGGATTAAAGATTTTCACGATGGTATAAAGATCGTCTTCTGAAACTTCCTAGATTGCCAAAAAAACGCTTCACAAATCGGCTTCTCGCAGATCAAACCTTTGTAAATATGGCTCAAGAAAACACTCATAACTTTTAGAATAAAACTCCCAATTATTATCCGTTTGCGTCTATAGCTAGATATAAGGGTCTAGAATTACCTGACCAAGTTTCGTACCTATATAATCTGGTTTGACCATCCGATTATCTCTCACGCCAGCATATGTTGGATCAGCCTTCTAGGTTACTGCAATATCTTCTTCTTCAAGGTGTTTTGATGGTGGCTGCTTAAATGTGACTCCAGCGGGGCTTCGCTGCTCTGATCTCTTTGTTCCTTCTTTGCCATGAACTCACTTTATATATAGTGTAAAAGATGAGGCTTCCTAGGTATAGGGTTTCCATGCAAATGTTCTCTTTTGCCATTAATGAGATTTTAAGGATGTCACAAACTCTCCCACTTGAAATGAAATTCGTCCTCGAATTCGGAGTTGCCTCTCCCCCACTTGGTTAT